GGGTAACCATGGAGTCTCCATGGTCACCCATGGGTAACCATGGAGACTCCATGGCTACCCATGGTTAACCATGGTTAACCATGGGTAACCATGGGTAGTCCGTGGTGATTACCATGGGCTCTCCATGGTTATCATGACCATGGTTAACCATGGTGATCGCCATGGAGTCTCCATGGTTAACCATGGTGATGACCATGGAGACTCCATGGTTACCCATGGTCGTGTTCACCATGGAGACTCCATGGTTAACCATGGTCATTAACCATGGTCATTAACCATGGTCAACCACAAGTCAAACCATTGATTGTAACATCACATTCATCATGATGCTCATCTTGCATCATACTCTTGTCATACTCAGTTTTTTTTGTTTTTGCAGAGAACGGTCCGGCAAGGAGTGGGGGTTGCTTTTTGGTAGAACAAACAGCTGTTTTGAGGGATCGTGTTATGCATACGTGATCGGTGCGTCGAGATAGCACATCCCCTGCAATCTTATCTTCCCCCCCTGTGTTATCTGTCTGCTGCTGTAGTCGGGAAGCGAGCTTCCCCGTCCAAAATAGCAGGAGGCGTGATTGTTTTGTTTTTCCGCTGCTGCTGTGCTCAGCAGCTGCTGCTGCTCCTGTGTGGCAAGACACAGACACACACACAGATGAGACACGGAACATGGGGGGGCAAGGGGAGCAGGACACACACACACCACCGGGAGAGCGAGAGCGAGGCCGGAGGGTGTTTTCTATATTGCTGTTGGGTCTCGGTGGAGGAAGCTCTAGGAGAAGCGTCTGGTGTTGGTATGTATGTGCGTGTTGACGAGACCAGCGATTGTTCGTTGTCATGAGCGATCAAAAGAGAGCACAGAGAGAGGCACACCAACGCGCTGGTAGACACTGTTGGAGTGATTGCGGTAAAAGAACGACTCGATTCTACTGCATGGGTTTATGCGGTATTGTGAAGGTGTTGCCAAGTCTGTAACCGTCAGGTGAAGACAGCTTGGGCGTCTGTGTGAACAATAAGATCTCTGTGTGTTTGCCTACCTAACATCGCATCACATGCCAGCTACTTTGTAGACACAGCTGAAGGAATAGCTGTACAGCAACTGCAGTGACAGTGCTGTTGCCTCAACAGGTTTTGAGCCTCGAGTTGCTCGAGCTAGTACACCAGAGTCACAAGAGTCGGTAAGCATGGCTACCGGCTCGTCAGGTGAAATCCGAAGAGGATTCGCCAAGTTCAGTGGTGACCCAGGCGACTACGGCGGCTGGCGAACTCTGCAGACCTCCTTAGTTACGGAGGACAAGCTGCACAGGGTTCTGTTGGGAGTGGAGAAAGCCCCTACGGATCCTGGACCAAGCGCTACGCCAAACCAGACTTTGGCATACCAAATTGCCCTCGAAGGATATACCAGGACAAAAACGGACAGGTCTTTACCCGGCTGATGCTCGCCACATCTGAAACCGGGGGCTACCAGAGCGCGGCCTCGCAGACTGTGCAGGCATACGCGCCTATCGGGTGTTCCTACGACGGAGACGGTCGTGGAGCATTCCTCGCCCTGGAACGAAAGTACCAGGCCGCTGGGGTATACCGTACGCAGGAGCTGCACGAGAAGTTCATATCTTTGGCAGTTACTGCGGACCACGACTTTGATCCGGCCGATGTTATTCAAGACATGCGCCGGATCTGCACACGGAGCTCGCCGTGTATAACGACACGGTGGCTGACCACCAAAAGACGTTCGCTTTCCTGAAAGCACTGCCGGACGACCACTTCAAAGAGTTCAGACAGGGCTGCTGTGCGGCCAGGCTGCTGGGAGCAGGCTGCTGGGAGCGTCTTGTCCTTCGAGGAGATCGCCGACCGAGCCACTTCGTTCCACGCGATGCACATTCGTGGTAAAGTTGCCTCGAAGAACGCGTCCGGAAGCAGCAGACGTGCGCTGAATACCGTCGCACACGGCGGAGCCCGTTCTTTCCGTAAGGGCGGCAGTCATCATGGTCGTGGACGCGCGCAGCGCGGTGGACGCGGACGTGGCAGCTGGAACAACTCGTCGAACCGTAACAACGGGTCGTCGAGGGGGAACAACAGCAACGACCAGAACCATGGCGGCGCAACTTCTGGCAACGGAGCTGGTGGTGCGTCTTCCGACAACCGGTCCTCTGGACGGCCGAACCACTCACAGCAAAGACGCGGGTACGACAGGGACGGCCTATGCAGTTACTGTCACAACTCTACGGAACACACCTGGACGAACTGCCCGCTTCGCGCCTCCAATGCCACGCGGTTTTCGAACCGTGAACAACAGCAACAACCGCAGCAGCAGCAGGTCAACTAGACCGCGGAATCCACGACACAGGCGTGGCTCACGCACGCGCGCGAGGTAGACCTCACGCTGGAATTGTTCGACATCGCCATAGGCGATCCCGAGCAGGTGCCGTTTGCACCTGCTGCATCGACCCCTAAGGAGGCGTCCGATGTCAATGTAGGGCAGGTGTTGGCTGCGCCTGCCACAGCTACGCTACCATAGTTGGAACGTGCTGTCCCATTAATTGCAGTTGCCGATTGCGCCTGCCACAGCAGAGGAAACCGAGGATCCTGCTGCCTCCTACGAGCAGGAAAAGGGCCCGCCTGCCGCGATACAGCATGAGGAGCTGGTCGCGTACACCAACGTTTTTCGTGCAGTGGAGAAGACAGCGCCCGCCGAGAGTACGAGGGTGTTCATCGACATCGCCGTTTCGGGACACATGGTAAGCGGCGAGAGCACAGTCTCACAACATGTAGTCGACTTGGTTGACTGCGACGTCCGCATCAAGGGTTCGTGCGGCACATCCAGCGCCACCAAGAAAGGTACGCTGAAGTTCAAACTCAAGAATGACATGGTGGGATACAATACAACCAGCAAGACGTGGCGGCTATGGGACCC